TGTGATTATAAGTATGATGGCTGAAAACATGAAAAAAAAATTATAAATATTGGGGCAATTCTGATTGACTGAACATGTTATTATTGATTGCTCTTGTGTTGCATCCAAGATATAAGTTAAAATTCATGCATTGGTTGATTAATCAAAGTTTTGATGGTGTTGTGGCATCTAATTTGAAAGACAAAGTGCAATCAAGTATAACATTACTTTTTGAAGAGTATAATGGTGGGAGAATTGAGTTTGAAGCTAACTCATAGGAAGCTCGACTCAATGAAGAAGCAAGTGACAATCCTTATGGCTACAACCAATTTTTCAAATCAACTGGATCTCATAAATATGAATTAAGTAAATACTTAGAGGAAGCCTTAGAAGAAAGTCAAGGAGATTTGGATGTTTTAAATTGGTGGAAGCTAAATTCGGGTCAATTTCCAATTCTTTCAAACATGGCAAGAGATTTACTTGCTATACCTGTGTTCTACTGTGGCCTCTGAATCTTCCTTTAGTACCGGAGGAAGAGCTCTTGATGCATATTGTAGTTATCTTACACCACAAATGGTGGAAACACTTATTTGCACTCAAGATTGGCTTAAAGGGACACTTCCACCATTGTCCTTGAATGAAATAGAGAATTTTGTGGAGCTTGAGAAATTTGAACAAGGTAATAATTTTTTTTAATTGCATTACACTATATTATTTTATTATTTACTTATTATAATATGACTAGCTACTAATTGCATATTTTTCTTTATGTTGTAGATATTGTCCCCTCACAAGATGGTGCTTATTCAGCCTCCTCCATTACACTTGATGATGATTAAAGAAACACTTACATTATAGTTTGCACTTCTATTCGTGTCTGTGCGTCTGTTTGTGTGAGAGATTAACAAGATATTTGTTTTTTATTGCTTCTGTTGTGTTCTATTTCATTAAGCTATCGAATAAAGCATGAAGTACTATTATGGATTCTCGTGCGGTTGGGTTTCTTCTAGATTAGTAGAAGCTGGACAATAAGAAATGTTGTGCACTTTCTAGTTGTATGTTTTATTTAGATGAATGATTCAGTGTTTCTGATCACAACATTTCTTACTTGTATGGTTTATCAGCTTGAACGAGATATTTCATATGTTACTGAAATAGTCATAATTTGAATGTGAGATGCTTCGTGTCAGTCCTTTGAAAGAAAATCTTGTTCCTCTTCCTCATTGTATAGTGCAGATGGAGTTCAGTCTTATGAGCTATCTAAATGTACCAACTGTAGGTTGGGTATGGATCACTAAAGGTGGGCATGTACTGTCTACTCTACTGTTTCTTGTGTTTCCATCACTTCATGTGTTGCTAATAAAGTGTGTATTAAGATGTGGCAATTGGTCATTATCATAGATCTCATAATTGTCAGCTTTGGCTTCATTGAATAGTCTAACATGGATACTTAAATATCATAGGCTATTGCTAGATTCTCTACTAAATTTTATGGTGTGTTGCAATTCAAAGTAAAAGCAAACAGTCAGAATACCATCCTACAAATTCTGTAATGCAAGCCCATGATGGAATTTTCTTTTGTGTGGTCTGCAAGTATCATATCTTATATCCGTTGAAACTTTATCTCTAATTGTGTCCACTGACGAGATAAGCTGTATGATATTAGTTGATGACTTTGGCTTGAATTTCATCATTTCATGCAGGACTCACACTCACACACACACATATATATAAAGCAAATAGGATCTACAAATCTTCTCATAGATATTGGGAGTGTTTGTGTTTTAGTTATGACATGTCATACTGTAGTGTATTCATTAGTGAATATTAATTTGCTACCAATATTGAAAATCACCATTCAAAATTGCTCTACAGTTTTTCAATGGCATATGGAGGTCAATGGTAGTAACTAGTAATTGTAGAAAAAAGCGTGGCACATGGCATGCTAGTTTCTGTATTGAAGCATGGAACCAACTCATCCAGAGAAAATTAAAAAAGAACTATGAAAAACTGAATATAATGGAGGAACAGGGAGAGGCAGAGCACATAGTAATTTTCTCTGTGATTTCATCAAATAATCAAAATCATGAAAAAAATATACATTTTCAGTGAAGGATTCTATTCTCAAGAACTTTGAAGCAACTCAAAAGTTTGATGCTATTCTGAGAAAATAATGCACTATTCGACCACTTTGGTATGGCTTATGCCACATGCCATGGATGCCACAATTAAGGTGGTTCCACATTGAATTTCATGCCATAGGTTTTATTATGGCTGTGACCCCCCAAAAATTCTATGCCATGGTGGTGCTATTGGCAACACTGTCACATTGTTGTATATTTGGTGCGCAAAAATATTTTCTTGCAAACACTAGTTTTGTTTCAGTTTTTCTTATTCTATTCATTGACATAAAAGATGTTTTTTTCACCAGGGAGCTGTTGGTTTGAGGATTAGGGTGTATGATCGAATAATGTGCTTTGTTAATTGTCTCCCAAGTAGCTTCAATATTGTTCTGGTAGAAAATTGAGGAAGTTAACTTTATTAAAACCAATTTAAAACTGGTTTATTTCTTAAAACCAATTTAAAACTGGTTTATTTCTTAAAATCGGATCAAAAACTGGTTTGGTTATGAAACTGGTTTTAAACCGATTATAAACTTATTTATTAAAATAATTAAATTTTAAAATGGTTTATTAAAGTGACTCACATAATTTATAAACCGGTTCATTTTATTAAAATAGTGCAATGCAGTTTGGTGCAATTTTTTTAAAAAACCAAACCATGCACACCGCTAATCTAAGGTATCAAGTCACATGAGTCATTGTAATCATCCAAGGACCTCTTGGTTTATCTCGTGATGATGCTGAAGGGTTTTCAACCGACTCTTTGTACTTATTCGGTATACATGTCCCTAAACTTTCAAGATTATTAATAATCATTAATAATGATGAAAAACTAAAAGAGGGTTGTATCTCTACATTAAATTTTTCTGACACCACCGTCTCTTTATTAAAGAGATCCGTCTTTTCATTTTTTTATCATTTTGTTTTCTCAGCGACGGGTTTTGGTTAGGTGCGAATATGAAGAGTCTCATGATCACATTTGTTGGATCGAAGATTAGCAAATGGATGTGATCTTTCTTCTCTCCTTTTTATCCTTACTATAAATACATGTTCATTTTTACCATGAACTTCACTCTGAGACCAGAGATCATAATTTCTTTGTGCCTGAGCCTTCTCCCCGTTTCACCTCATTCATAGCCAAGGACTCTTCTACTTTTTCCTTGCAAAGGTAACATGAGTTCTTCTAACTCTTCTTCTGATTTTTCTTCCCTCTTTTTTGATTCTTCATCGTTCAATGGGGAAAATTATCCTCAAAAAATTACCATGGACTCTTCGTCCTCTTCCAAAGACTTAAATCAAGAGGAGGTTAGGCCTTCAGCCGAGGATGAGGAGGTTGGGCCTTCAGCTAAGGACGAGGTTTTAGATCCTTATTATAATAGTAAGTCCAAGATAATACTGGGTTTGAGTGGGTTCACCAAGAAGTAGCCACTTGTAATTCTAATTTTAGCAATCTTAGGATGTTCAAAAATTTTGTGGGTCTTGTTGAGATTTCCACCTTCCTTACCGAGGAGGATCCTTTCCCTATCTATGTGAGGTGTTGTAAGATCGACGCCTCTCCTTGACCTAACTATATCTTTTTGTACCAACCCTCTTTGGAGCCAAGACAATTTTTCTACATGTATGATTGTTTTTTTTAAACCTCGACATTACTCTCCCTTTCAGCCCTTTATTTTCTAGAGTTCTTAGGATTCTCGACATTACACTTACCTAGCTCCATCAACTCGAATAGTTGGGCCACCATGCAGGCCTTTTGGAGTCTTTGTAAATTCACTTATGTAAAGTCAACTTCTAGTTTATTTTTATTTCTTTATTATTGTCATCCATCTAAGCTGGTTAAATGGGTCTCTTTATCCCGAGTATCTTCCCAATGACTCCTCAAACCCTTCACTTCTTACAAAAATTTTAAAGTAGGTTTCTTTAAAGTGTGTATTCATCTGAGTGATCGCGACCACTTTTTTGATAGTGAAAATAATCCATTGTTTCTCGTCCTAACTTATCAATTGAAACTTAGTAGTTACATGGATAGGCCGAATGTGATTTTAAATTATCAATTTGAAACTTGGTTATTTTAACGTCTGCGAATATGATGACGAACCAAATATAACTTGAAATCTAAATAGGTAACACTACAACATTTGTTATCTATGACAACAATAAAAAATCGTTGTTGAAAGCTAAAAAACCGTTCCTGAAAATTTAGGGAACGATTTGGCAATGATTTTTCAAGCGTGGATTTATCAACCGTTGCCTATTTTAATATGCAACAGTTTTTTGGCCTGTGCCCACGATGTCAAAAAAACTGTTACCTAAACTTCTAAGAACGATTTTCATGATCTTCATTGGCAATGGTTGTTTTTTATTTAAGGCAACACTATAAATTTTTAAAGAACGGTTTTAGAAATGTAGTCTATTTTTATAGGCAACACTTTTATGACCGTTGCTAGTGACATTAGGGAACATTTTTTTAAGGTTGTCTATGAGATAATATAGGTAACAATTTAGACTAAATTTAAGCTACAATTTTGTAAATATTGTCTAAATAAATGCCCAACGGTTATTTTTATATTGATTTATAATATTGGTAATAACACACCATTATTTAAGCAATAATCTTCACCATATACTATTTTTAAATGGTTGTAAATGTAATATATATATATATATATATATATATATATATATATATATATATATTAAATTTTACTTTATCCTGTGAAATCATATATATGTAATACGTACCTATAATTATAATACAAATAGTATATTAAACAACTTATATTAATAAGTACTATATATTATTTTGGATTGATAATCCTCTTGTACATCCTCTTCTTCAAGAAGACGTTTCTCATGTGATCAATAAAGAATTGATTTCACCCTCCAAAAATAATAAAACAAATTATAAAATAAAATCCAAACACATGTAAAATTCACTTGCATTAATTAGTTACAAGTATATGACAATTCAAAAGCATAAAACTCCAAATAAAATTATCCAAAGATGTCAAAGTTTACATAAAATTTCTAAATTTCAATATAAAGTGTTATCTAGGAATATTATGCATAGCTAGTCATCTATCCATGTAAGTAACATCATTCAGTCTCTTCATCATCATAAGGCTGATCTTCATTATCAAGTCTTTCCTGCACATAAATATATATTTTCACTTAGAAAACTTATAGAATTAATCCCCAATCAATCTCCAACAATTAACATAACTCCTTTGCTTTGTTTATTCTTACCTAATACCTTTTCACGCTTGATTTGAAATCTCCTAAGTAATTTAGCACTTGATTTCACTTCACCTTCAAAATTGAAGATATCTTTTTCACGTTTGTCTGTAGTACTCATATTTTACTTTAAAATTCCTTCCTTCTGCATTTTGTACCTACAAAATGAAAAATATAATTATTGGATAATACTGCTTGCTGTAATAGATTACACATTCACTCTTAGACACCAAACAATAACTTCTGCATAACATGAGTTATAGAGCTTCACATAGCATGGGATTAGATTCATTAGAAAGATAAGACACTAACCTACTTATGATTAAAATTTTATAATTTTAGAGTTTGACATGTAGTACCAGTTTTTATTTTAAAATAGTTTAGTCCTTGTTGTAACAGATTACACATCCTCTCTTAGACACCAAATAGTAACTACTGCATAACTTGAGCTCTAGACCTCTAAATAGCATGGGGTTAATTTTGTTAGAAAGCTAAGACACTAAGCTTCTCATAATTTAAATTTTAGAATTGTATAGTTTGACATGCAGTACCAGTTTTTATTTTAAAATAGGTCAATCCTTGTTGTAACAGAGTACACATCCTCTCTTAGACACTAAAGAGTAACTACTGCATATGTGGAGCTTTAGATCTCCAAATAGCATGGGGTTAATTTTTTTAGAAAGCTAAGACACTAAGATTTTCATAATTAAAATTTTAAAATTTTATAGTTTGACATGAAATACCAATTTTTATTTTAAAACAGGTCAATCCTTGCTGTAACAGATTTCACATTCAATCTTGGATACCAAATAGTAACTACTGCATAACTTGAGCTCTAGAACTCTAAATAGCATGGGGTTAATTTTGTTAGAAAGCTAAGACACTGAGCTTCTCATAATTAAGTTTTAGAATTTTATAGTTTGACATGAAGTACCAATTTTTATTTTAAAACAGGTCAATCCTTGCTGTAACAGAGTACACATCCTCTCTTGGACACCAAACAGTAACTACTGCATATCTTCAGCTGTAGATCTCCAAATAGCATGGGGTTAGTTTTGTTAGAAAGCTAAGACACTAAGCTTTTCATAATTAAAATTTTAAAATTTTATTTTTGACATGCAGTACCAGTTTTTATTTTAAAACAGGTCAATCCTTGCTGTAACAGAGTACACATCCTCTCTTGGACACCAAACAGTAACTACTGCATAACTTGAGCTCTAGACCTCTAAATAGCATGGGGTTATATTTGTTAGAAAGCTAAGACAATAAGCTTCTCATAATTTAAATTTTAGAATTTTATAGTTTGACATGTAGTACCATTTTTTATTTTAAAACAAGTCAATCCTTGCTATAATAGAGTACACATCCTCTCTTAGATACCAAATAGTAAATACTGCATATCTTGAGCTGTAGATCTCCAAATAACATGGGGTTAATTTTGTTAGAAAGCTAAGACACTAAGCTTTTCATAATTAAAATTTTAAAATTTTATAGTTTGACATGAAGTACCAGTTTTTATATTTGGGAATCATTAAGAATTCAGACATGTGTTCTTCACCTGAACTTTCTTTCTGCCCTCCTATCTATTTCTTCTCCGATTTTCTATTAAACCAGATTCTGCAAACTGCTTTCTGTGCTGGTTGAAGTTGTTCTTCAGACACTCCTATCCTTCCCCAAGGTGCACCATTGTCTAGGATAGAATCTATTGGCAAGGACAAACATTTATTTTCAAAATTTCCAGAATTATATATTAGCATGCAATGGACTAGGGTACATTAATATCATTATATAAAGATAATGAGTAAGAAACCTATTTGTTTCACAGACATGTTAGTGGTTTGGGGATTGATACTCATGCAATGAACCATTAATATTGAATGTAGTATATAATTTTTATTTGCTAAAAAAAAATAACAAAAAGAAAATTCCAGCCAAAACTTGAAACAATTAATGAATTATTTCATCTACCATAACCGTATCACTCAAGACCAAAATTCAGACAATCACCTCTTTGTCAACAGCTAAGGCAGAAAATACAACGGAAGCATTCTCTTCAGATCCAAAATCTATTTCCATGTCACTGCAATTGTCATTCCATTTTCATTCACACATTTACACATTTGTTAATACCAATTTCAAACACAAGGGAAACCTCAGAATTTCCAAATCAAGTTTTTCTCATAGTAGTGAATCTTTCAAATACAGGAAATTTGCACACAATTGATACACATGCACCAGATCAGATGATAAGTATAAAAAATGCTATTTATTTTACTAACGATACTTAACTGATTAATTCAAAAACTTGAGATTTTGATTGTATCTAATTCAACATACTGAGTTCCAGGCCTAAACAGGAATTGGACCAATTGTTGGATTTAGGCACAATGGATAAGGAAGCCTATGATTTGGGTTTCATTCCAAAAGGTAACAAAAGGGAAGAATGGAGGGGGAATTTCTTATGCTGACTAGACAAATTGGTTAGTAAATTAACAGGAATATTGGGCCAAGTGTATGACAAAAGGATGCTTGGGTAATCAGTTTGACAGAGAAGAGCTTTCTGCAAGTAGCCAAGGGCTCGGTTGTCTCTTTTGCAAGAGCTTTGGCTCAGTACCTTTCTGGAATTTAATAACACTCACAATAGTTTTTGTTCCTGGTGTTCTATCAGTTACAGAGTCCTAATTCTATAATTGCATAAGTAGCCAAAGAACTAGGATACACAATGAGTGATACGGAACCCTCTCACATACCCAAACGGAACCCATAATCCATAATCGCATCGAACCCATAACCCATACAGCCATAGACCTATAATCGTAAACGCACAAGTACACTTGTGAACGCCATAACCCACACACTCAACACACAACATCACATAATCTACAGCCTCACGGAATGAGAGTGATAACGAGAACAACAATCACGCACGTAGAGAAACAAATAAAAGGTGAGAATCATACCTGAGAGAAACGCACAGAGAGGAACGTGATGAGAAAGATGCAGAGAGGAACGTAGAGAGGAATGCACAGAGAGAAGCAAGCATACGTAATGAGAAAATTTTAGGGATTCTAATTTTTGTTTTAAGGAGACAAGAAGTCTTGTGATTTTGGGAATTAAAGAGAGGGAGAAGTTTAATTTTTTTTAATTAATATTTCCCGTGAATACAAAAGGGCAGATATATATAATCATTAAGCAACGTTTACAAGTGTTGCCTATTAACTACAAAGAAATAAACTTCCCATTTAAATAATAAACATGGTTAATAATAAGGGGCAGATATATATAATCATTTTTTTTGTAAGTACACACACAATCGAGGGGGTCCTCGGTGAAGGTAAACCTTGTTTGTTTTATACACACACCTTGGATCGAGGGGGCCCTTGACGAGGGAAACCTTGTTTTTTCTTTAGGCACATCCTCGTTCGAGGGGTTCCTCAACAAGGGAAGCCTTGTTCATTTTTTAGGCACGTCCTCGTTCGAGGGGATCCTCGATAAGGGAAGCCTTCTTCGTTTTTCAGGCATGTCCTCATCTAAGGGGGTCCTCAACGAGGGAAGCCTTGTTCATTTTATAGGCATGCCCTCGATCGAGGGGGTCCTCGGGAGGTAATTAATTGTTGGCTTTTTAGGCATTTCCTTGACCAAGGGAATCCACGGTGAGGGAAACCCTTTTCGTTCTTTAGGCACATCCTCATACGAGGGGGTGATGAGGGAAGCCTTGGTTTTTTAGGCACGTCCTTATCCAAAAGGCTCCTCGATGAGGGAAGCCTTGTTCATTTTATAGGCATGTCCTCAATCAAGCAGGTCCTCGGGAGGGAAGTCTTGGTTTTTTGGGGACGTCCTCAATTAAAGGGGTCCTCGGCAAGGGAAACCTTGTTCATTCTTTAGGCACGTCCTCGTCCGAGGGGGTCCTTAGTGAGGGAAACTTTGTTCTTTCTTTTAGGCATGTCCTCATCCGATGGGTCCTCAACAAGGGAAGACTTATTCGTTTTTTAGTCACATCCTTGTTTGACCAGGTCCTGGGGAGGGAAGTCTTGGTTTTTTAGCCACGTCCTCGATCGAGGGGGTCCTCGGCGAAGGAAACTTTATTCGTTCTTTAGGCACATTCTCATCCGAGGGGTTCCTCGATGATGGAAAGTTTGTTCATTTTTTAGACACGTTCTCGTCCAAAGGTGTTTTCGGTGAGGGAAGCCTCATTCATTTTTTAGGCACCTCCTCATTCGAGAGGCTCATTAGGAAGGAAGTCTTGTTCATTTTATAAACATGTCCTTGTCTGAGGGTTCCTTAATGATGGAAGCTTTGTTCATTTTTTAGGCACGTCCTCGTCTGAGAGGATTCTCGCCGAAGGAAACCTTGTTCGTGGTTTAGGCACGTCTTCAGCGAGGGAAGCCCAAAACCCTAAAAATGAACAAGGCTTCCTTCATCAAGGACCCCCTTGATCGAGGACATTCCTAAAAATCCAAGATTTCCCTCGTCGAGGACCCCTTTGACTAGGGACGTGCCCATAAAACACATAAGGTTTCCCTTATCGAGGATCCCCTTGGTTAAGGACGTGCTTATAAAACGAACAAGGCTTCCCTTGTTTAGGACCCCCTCGGACGAGGACGTGCCTAAAAAATGAACAAAGGTTCTATCGCCAAGGAACCCCTCAGACGAGGATGTGCCTAAAATACCGAGGCTTTCCTCGTCGATGACCCTCTCGGACGAAGACGTGCTTGAAAATCGAACAAAGCTTTCATTTCTGAGGAACCCCTCGTACGAGGACGTGCCTATAAAATGAACAAGACTTATTCCCTCCCAAGGACCCCCTCAGACGAGGACGTGGCTAAAGAACGAACAAGGTTTCCCTTGTTGAGGACTCCCTCGATCGAGGATGTGTCTAAAAAACAAATTAGGCTTCCCTCGCCGAGGACTCCCTCGGACGAGGATGTGCCTATAGAAGGAACAAGGTTATTCCCTTGTCGAGGACCCCCTCAGTCAAGGACCTGCCCGAAAAACCAAGACTTCCCTCTCGAAGACCACCTCAGTCGAGGATGTGCCTATAAAATGAACAAAGCTTCCCTCGTTGAAGACCCATCGGACGAAGACGTGCCTAAAGAACAAACAGGTTTCCCTCACCGTATAAAACGAACAAGGCTTCCCTCGCCGAGGACCCCCTTAGATTAGGGCATGCTTAAAAAACGAACAAGGCTTCCCTCGTTGAGGACCCCCTCAAATGAGGACGTGCCTAAAAAATGAACAAGGTTTCCCTCGTTGAGGACCCCTTTAGTCGAGGGTGTGCCTATAAAACGAACAAAGATTACCCTCATCGAGGACCCCGTTTGTTGAGGGTGTACTTACAAAAATTAGAAACTACAATGAGGTATTCAATTATTACCATTCAAGTTTGGGGTGTACAATAGAAGTGACTTTGGGATATGGAAAAATAGGTTTGCAGTTTTACGTTGCATCCTTAAGTTCAAATTTGAAAACTAAGTTCAATTAGTTGTTGCAATAATGACTATATAGAATTTTATTAAAAGACAATCTTAAACTGATTCTAAATTTTTGTTTTATGAAAATGAAAATATGGAGGAGCATAAAAATGATGATTATATTAGGGAAGATCAACCTTTACCTTTAATCATGACTTCTTCAATAGAAATGAGTTTTATTCGAGACTCATCCGAGATCAAATTAGAGACTGTGTCAACTTAATTAACCATGCATTTATATTTCTAATTTATATTTCATGCATTTGATTTTAGAAAATGTATAATTAATTGTTATTTTTTTTTATCTATTTTATTTCAGTTTAATCAATATTGTTATGAAAATATGTTAACATTATTTATAATTTAATTTATAATATTATCACCATTTTTATTAATAATAATATATTATCAATTCAATTATACCTAAAAAATAATGAAATAAATAACATTCATATTATATCATAAAAGTACTTGAATGTAGTTTAATTACTATATATAATTCAAATAAGTTTTCTTTTAATAAAAGTATTTTTAAAATAAAAATATTCTAACATGAATCAAGTTAAATTAAACCTACTTTTAACTAAACTAAAATTTAAAAAATTTAAGTTTAACTAAACTTAACTTTTTAACTATAATCTAAACACGTTCTAAGAAGTTGAAAAGACCTGATATATGTTTGAAAAAATATTAGATTCAATATAACCTTCATTTTTCTCCAATCCATTAATATAGTTACTATAATTACTTTATTATTTGAAGCATTAGAATATGTAAATATCCTTTTTCTTTTAATTTTTAATGTAAATTCAAACATGCACTTAAAATAATAAGGTGTTGAGAGGAGGGAGTAACTTATATTTGTATTTATTAAGAAATGCATAATCTGATCTACTTGGTGGTCTAATCCAGCACCGGGATTGCAGGATTCAACCAATTAGATAATAACACATTAATGAGAAAATGACTCGTTCAAATTCAAGCGATTTTATTTTAAACACTACTTACCTTGTTTGACTTTAAGTTTCATGACGATGCAAATACTAAGATCAGTACTTAATTAAAGAGCGAAACGTGTCTTTAGCAGTCCCCTTATTATTATTATTTTTATTCAACCCTTCGTGTTAAGTATTAGCCAAACACATGCCAATCTCAGACACGCATTCGCATTTCATTGCTTTCCACGCGGTTCAATGACCATTGTTTTTTTCAATCAACACTTCCCTCATCTTTTGGATAAGACAAAGTACAAAGATTCACGTTAGCTTTGAAACCTGTATGGTTTCAATTATTGACATATAGTGCAGAATTTGCCAAGTATATCCTTGGTCAAAATAAATTATCATTGTGTTATCTACAAAAAGTAAGTGATCATACCTAGCTTCACATGTAGCATGATCTACGCATGTGGTATGAACTGAATCAAGATAAGGAATGTATAATTACTGATGTACGAACTTTTAATTAAGAGGCAACTAACTTGTCCTTATGTACAAATAGTGTCAATGAGACATTAAAAATCCATATTTTTTATATAACATATTTGACATACTTTTCCACATGGAATCTTCATGATTATTTTATGGATGACGCTTATCGTCATGACTAGATAACTATGGAAGCTCCTTTTCTTTTTCTTTTTTTTTTTTTTTTTGTCCCAATTGGTTTAATCCTAGCAATTATACATTTGCTTCACACATATGGGCTGGTCAATGGTGCTACTCTGTTTCATCACTTGGTACTTTCCTGAATCTGCTACATAATTGTTGGTCATTTCAACCGGTTGAGATTTCACAGAAGGGTCTATTCCAAAATTGGCATTGTTAATTTGAAAATCAAAGGTTGAGCAATAGGAGCCATCACTTAAAATTGGACCCAAGTAATTCATATCCAAAAGGTAAGTAAGGGACCAAGTCCTTGGAAGGTTCATCATCATTTTCTGTTCATCACTATTTGCAGCTGTAAGATTAGTAATTTGGACTGTTGGGTGTACCTCTTTGTGCTCCAATGTTTTTCCCATGTGCTTCTTCTTGTAGATCCTGCACAAGACCCAGTCATCCAGCTGATGACACATCCAACACCAAGAGAGAAAAAAAATGTCAATTATAAAGCAACATTGAATAGAAAACTATATTGTAAAAGTTTATAAAGTAACAATAATGAGGCCAAGGCTTATAAAAGGCTTTACTTACCCTCATGGACCCAATTTTCCTGCAAACTGGTTTTTTTGATTCAGCCAATCTATACTCATGCATAATCCAATCAGTTTTTGTGCCCTTTGGTGGCCTACCCTTGTAAAAGACTAAAGATTTCTTCACCCCAACACTCTTAGATCCACTGTAGATTGCCTTGTCTGTGCCAGTAGCCTTCCAATACCCAGACACAGTTGCTCGGTTTGGCCTCACCCCATTTGGGTACTTCCTATCTCGTGGACTAAAGAAATACCATTCATTTTCTCCAAATTCTGTTTTATCTGCATTAAATGGTAAGTTAATAACAAGTGTGTTAGATATGTAATACAATAACATTCATGTCAATGTTTTAGAAACTGCAATTTCAGCTGCAATGTCAAGGTTTCTGGGTTCACAATGACCAAAATTGTGATTATATCAGTTGTATTTGTCAGCAATTTCCCTAATATGGACATATATAACTCTTTCCTATCAGATCGATCCATTATAGAGATAAAATGGTACTTCTAAATGCTACTTCATGCTTAAGTCGAGGGTCAAACCTGATCCTATTAAAAAACGTGATACTAGAGTCTCTGTGACCAAGTGTGTCTAGAATTTAATACTTGGTGTCCCTATTCTTCTAATAAAAAGTTGATAAGGTGGGCAGGTTTGTGCATTATTCATGTTTCAATCCCAAAGAGCTCGAGTGAAGGAACATACTTGAGATGCAATATTATAAATAGGGATTGTTGGTTCATGACAAGTGAAGCATATGCATAGAGACATTATGGTGCAACAAATATAAAGCTATGCACAACAATAATAACAAAGCTATTGCAAGTGATGTTACAATACATATATAGATATACCTGGTAATTGCCATGGATCAAACTTGTAAATATCCACTTCTGGGATGATAGATGCAGGGCATGGCTTTGATGTGGCTTGGTTACAAAGATAATACACAATCAGTTCCTCGTCCGTTGGGTGAAACCTAAAGCCAGGGGGAAGTTCTGAGCATGTGCTAGCCTCCATTGAGTCCAAAATGTTAATTTGGTTTGTGACAAGAAAAGGGGAAGAAAGTGAAGAAAGTGTTTGAAATGTTTGCAAGGCGATTGGTGCCCCTTTTATCCTTGAGGGTGGCTATCCTTTGAGTAGAGTTGCATGGCTATGATTGGATGATAGGATAAATTTTACTATTCCTAGTACATGCGTCACCTGACATGCATGCACCAATGGGGTGTCAGAACTATTTCACAAGTATATCTGTTACTGACTTTTTCACATGGTTCTTTGAACCATCTTGCACGTCTATATCCATTTCGAGTTATATATTCAATTCTCCTTAGGAATGTTATGGCAATTGTAGGTTTATATTTTCACATACAGTAACTGTGTTATGAGGTCATATGCAGCTAATTGCGGGACTCTTGGATCATACTTGAATTGTTAAAAATGAGAATGTTTTCGCCTAACTAATTAATGCATCAGTGTTTGGTCCATGCAATAATGTTTAAAGAAAAAAGGGTTGAAAAGTTGTTCTTTTTGCTTTTGTTTTTTTTTGTTTTTTTTTTTCTTTTTTGGTGGAAGTATATATGTGATTAGAAATGATCTACTTATTTTAAAAGTTGTCTATTTGCATCAACAAATGCCCGTGGTTTACAAAGAATTGAAATGAAAATTATTACTAAAGTTTAACTCATTCTAATAACGCCTATATATCGATTAATAAAATAGGTTTATACATGTTAAATGTGATTAAATTTAATTCTAAATGTCTGAAATTCTTTTTGTTAATTTCAGTTTTCATAATTTAAAATAAATAAAATGATTTATAGACTTAATTTCATTTTTTTATCTATAAAGTTACACACAATCTTGCAAATTTTAATCTCATATATATTCGGGGCACATTTTAATTACTCCAATTAATTGACTAAATGTTTCATTTTTGTCCTTAATCCTTATATACTTCAATTGTGACAATTAAGATAATTGTATGACGGTTTGAAAGACTAATTTTACAAATTATCTTAATTTTAACGGTTTAAGTACATGAGAATAATCTTAAACTTTATAAATTGAGAGTACAATTCACCAAAGAAATACTTTAAGAGAAAAATTCATAAGATTGTGTAACTTCATAAAAAAAAATACTATTAATTAAACCTAATTATTTATATCAATACTTAATATTAATATATATATATATATATATATATATATATATATATATATATATACATACGTGATGTAATATATATGTTTTCTTTTTCTTTTTTTCTCCTTTTTCTAATATAGATTTTCATAAGTATTAACATAAAAATCATAAGTGTTATTTTTTTATTATATATAATTCATTTCATTTTTTTTATTTTTAAATCATGATATATCTTAATTCAATTCAATTTCAAAATCAAATTATAAATTTCTATCTCTTTATCGCAAGACTCTTTATAATATATTGTTATTATTTATTTATTTATTATTATATAATAATCTCTAACAATAACCCATAATTTTGTATGAATGTATTATGTAATCAATGCTTATGTAACCGTGTGTTTAATTATTATATATTTACATATTTAAGTTTCAAAATTAAGATCATAATATTTATGAAAGTGCTTTTTTTTTTTTTTTTTTTTACTTTCTATAGAGTAAAAGAATTCAAAACCGGCTTCACTGATTCAATCCGATGCAAGTTTTGGCATGATAATTGAAAAAGTAAAATTAATTTTGATTGGATATTAAAAATATATCCCCTATATAATGATTAACGAGAAGAATCTAGAAATAGAATGATAGATGTGTTCAGCAATGACGCAGCGAGTTCCTCAATCCATCGCAAAAAATATGGCTGTGATTGGGAACATGTGTCTTCCACGTACGGGTTAGTTACCACTTACCACCTTACAACAAAATTTCAAATCTCGTTGGCACTGTCACCACAACACGAAAAAAAAAAAACAAAAGAGGGTGGGAAGAGTCTTTACTCTTTGGAGCTTTATGAGTCCACAATGAGAATTTGCCGAATCCAATTTAGTGAGGTCAATTCTTCACACACTCAGCTTTAATGTTCAATAGGAGGCTTCATGTTGCTGTAGATAATAAGTCTAAACCTGTAAGATCTAAGGTTTACGAGCTTGTGAAGTATTTGTATAAATATTTGAGAGAATTTATAAAAAGTAGTTTATAATATGTTTGTAAATTATTTTTAACTTATTTTAATAATTTTTCGATAAATGATAAAATGTATAAAGCACACATTTAGCATTTTTTTTATTAATTTATTTTAATATAGAAAGGTAACTTGCTAGCTCATTTAGCTTGTAAGTTATGCAGGCCAGTCTACATAAAGTTTGTAATTAAGTAAGTCAATTATTTTTAAGACCAAAACCACAATTTTGCAAGCCTTTTTGAGGCAACCGTAGACTAAGCTCGTAAGTGTAATTGAATCTATTTGGATATTATAATTTAATAGTAGTGTAGTAAAAGAAAATAATAATATATATCTATCTAAGATTATCATGTAACAAATATTTAATTTCATACACACATGAACTTTTATAGATTATTCCCCTTACATATAATTGTCAATCAAACACCTATGTAAGATCATTGTGTAAAAACATCAAAAATAAAAAGAGTTACTACTGGCGTGACTCACCATCAACATCCAAGCAGTCCTATTAATTCTTATATGCTTTTATACCAAATATAACCATAGTAGTTTCAACTACCAAAAAAAAAAAAGGTAAGCTATGAAAAAGAATTTAACATCATAAAATAGTGTAGTAACACACTCAACTTAAATAAACAACATTTAGTCTTCAACCAACATCACATATTACAACTCTAACAACTTTAAACAACGTATACAACTTACAAAACTTCAACATATTTAGCATACAACATATATACAACTAATGTGTCTCAACACACAAATCAACTATGGAGATCTCCAATAATAGAAGATGAGTAGTTTAAGTAATTATTAGATCCTACCAAACCACAATATTTGATCTATCACAACCAGGTTAGTATAGACAATTTCAAGTCTCATAGAGAATCTATTTAATAACTTATTTTAATTTCTTAAGTTTTGCCACTTAAACCAAGAAGGCTAGTACTACTATTAGGATAGAACAACTTGGGTATGAGTCTACCAAGACATTAGCTTGCAACGCTAAGTCTCTTATGGGATTAGTCCATCAAATACCCTCCAAGTACTATGCCCATCCAACACTTGATTAGGGACTAAGTCCTTGATTTCTCACTTTACTCAATTTGTTACTTTATACATGTATGTCTTGACCTTGCTCACATATAAATATCACATAAATCTTAGAGAAAACAACTTAAACCAACTACCCATTCAAAAGCCAATTTATTTACTTAAGAGGTTCAACTGGGTTCTCAGGGCATTGCAACTTACATCCACATAATGTGATATTTTAATTTCTAAAACAACTTTTACTCTCCTCTAGTTTTTATGTATCTCAACAATGGACAAATCAACAACACATTCAACATGCAACAACTTCAAAGGATCAAGGAAACAAACTTCCCTTACCACTTGGAGAAACAAATCAAGAAGAAGATGAGAAAAGAAGAACAAACTTTGTATGAATAAGGACTCGGAACTTCCAACTTTGTGAGCTTGAATTCCTCTAATAAGCTAGGAGATTTACTACAAGAAGGGGAGAAGAGATAGATTCTCAATATATAAGAAGGAGGAGAAGACTTGTTTTTTTTTAGAATCTCTCTCTAATCTCTCTAGAAATCTCTAAAACTGAACTTATGAGATTCTTACTTTTAGAAAAATCTTATATATCTTCCTTAACATGAACCACTTAGCTAAACTCTCAACTTAAACATACAACACATATACTCAACTTAAGCACCTAAAAATAACAATGTTATAAATACAAACTTAAAAAAGTTTTGAAAATTTCCATACCAAAAAAAATACTCTTTATTTTAGTAAAAGATTCTAAGAAAACATTTTTAATTTATATCCAAATAGACTTTGTATATGACTCATATTTTTTTAATCTATTATAGTCTTAAAAATATTTACTTTGAAATGGCTTATTTAATTAACTTATATTAAAAGTTTAAACTAATTTGTATTGAAATTTAAATTTTACTAATATATATTCAAAATAAATAAAAGCTACTTAAAAAAATTATATAAATTTAAAATGACAATTATTAAGTTAAAATCTATTTTGTTAGTATTTTTTTAATGAAAAGTTTTGATCATCATGATACACAACCCTATGTTAAGATAAAACTAATCACCAATCATTTTGAAGTTTTTTACTATAACTACTGATTACTTATCTTATTCCTAATGCAAGTCTATATAAAATGATATAAAATATAAAAAAAAAATCAGATTCAATATTCACACGTAACTAATAAGAAGTAAGAGACATAACTAAAATAAACTAATATTATTGTGAAAAACACAATCAAATGTTCTTCAATAAATTCTCAAAATATTATTAAAATTAAAATAGAATAGAATAAGCTCACCGTGGCTATTATTTAATGAAAATATTGGTGGGTGGTGATCCATTTTCACACATTGTGGGTTGTGGATAGATAAACATTGATGTGACATGGCATGGACTTATTGACCACTTCAACACGAGGTCATCTGGAATTCTTGATTTCTATTAGAAGCAGATGATCAATCGACAAAAGATATCTATCAGCAGCCGCACTTACAAGTGGACCAGCATCCTTTCCAAAAGGGGTTGGCTAAGATATGACTTTGGACTACGTTTGTAGAAATATGAAAATGATAATCACAAACTATATAATATAAAAATACGATCCATTGCTGCTCGTGGCTTCTAACTTGACAAGTAATCAACTGGCTAGTAATTGGTGTCAGCTACTGTCCTCTTTCCTCAAAGAATATTCTCCTTTCCTTGTTTTGATTCGGATTTTATATTTCAATGCAATATTACTTTTTAATACTTCGAATATGTTGTGTAGGTGGTTTTTAATTTGATTCAACTTTTAGGATATTATTGTTTTGGTGCTTAAGCCTTCGTTTCGTGTATGAAAGTGTGTAGAAATAGTATGTTTGATGGAGTAGAGTTGAGAGTGTAAGTAAAA